ACGAACCATCATTCAATAGGACCATGCAAAGAGGAAGTTCGCGCTTGAAGGCATTGATCTTCCTTATCTCGTCCTCCAATCTCTCGACAAAATCCAAGCTCAATTCTAGAGGAACCGAACCCATTTCAATATTTGGAGATTTAGATCCTTTCTTTTTGCAGATAATTGGTTTATGTCGTAATCTCTCTATCTTTTGTGTGAATTAACCAGGTGGGTGAGTTACAGCTGAAGGTAGTCAGCAAAGCCGGAGAAAAGGCGAGGAAGGTCGAAGGAGAGTAGTGGTAGTGATCGGCGTAGAGAAGACGAGAGCGGGGTGGGATCTGGGTTTGGGGAAGACGGGAGGGGGAAGAAAGGGTAAGGGGATAAAGGGTGGGTCCCCATGCAAAAAAAAATTAAAAATTTTTATCTTTTTAGTTTTTAATATTTAATTAATTTTTTATTAGAGAGTGTGCCCTGTCTCAAGCAACATCACTATTTAAAAGAAGAATTGACAAACAAACTAACAAAAGATATGAAATTGTAATAAATTCATAGATGAGGTATGACATTGAAATTTTTTAAAGATAGGGTATGAAACTGTGACTGGTCCAATAGTTGAGGTAGTTTTATATAATTTACCCTAAAAAGAAAGATTGGTTATGAAGACATCGGCTAATAGGATCGACATCATGTGGGGTGGAAAGAACAAACAAAAGGCAAATGATAGCAGGGGCAAAACAGTAGCAGAAGGTAAGGAAGAGAAGCAAAACGTAGAAAGAAAAGACTGCCACTGACCCTAGCCATAGCTAAGGCCAACGGCAGAACGGAAAACTTGAGCTGGAAACCCTCACACAAATGGTGAAAAAAAGCTCTCACGAGGAGAGAAAGTCAAGAAATCACAGACTTTTTAGGTTCTTTGTTGAAAATATTCTTAGTTGCAATGGTTTTATAAACTATCCTCTCCTATTTGTTTGGTTTAATTCCTATTATTTCTTTTTGTATTTTGTTTATTTGTCTCATCTTTCTTTCTTCTTTTTTTCTTTTTCTTTTTTTTTTTTATTAACTCCTTAATATGGAACATAAAAATAAGGGCAAATTACATTTTACCACCTCAATTTTGGGTCCTGTAACAAACTCATACCTCACCTTTTAAACACTGGAATGTCATACATCAACTTACAATTCATTGTAATGTCAGACATTCGTTAAAATTTTTGTTAATTTGGTCGTTAAATGATGACGTGGCAGGTGCAGGTGCCTACTCCATAGTCCAATTTTTTTTTATTATAGAAAAAAGGCAAATTACATTTTACCACCTCAACTTTGGATCACATTACAAACTCATACCTCATCTTTTGACATTGCAATGTCATACATCGATTTACGAACGTGCTACAATGTTAGACCTCGTTTCCTTGTCCGTCAATTTCTCTATTAACTACTGATGTGGTAAGCACGAGGCCCACTCCCTTGCCCACTAAAACTCAACGTTGCTGACTTGTCCACGATGATGTGAGGCTAATCCCATTCGCGAAATATATCTCATTTCCTAAATCGGTGAGTACAAGTATGAGTACTGACCTGATTGTGGGATCGAGTAAGCAGTTCCGTTTGTCTTTTGCTCAAATTCACTTCACATTCGTCTCTGTCATCTCTTTCTTCATCATCAACTACTTATCTGCTTGGGAATCATTTCGTCCCCGGCTTTTGTTCTCCTACAACTTCCTCTTCACTTCCTACTTTCTCAATGTCGATAGATCAAGAAGTGTGCTCTCCGGCTTCGATGACTCGATAAAGACAGAGACAACGCGTTTGGTTGCTCATTCTTTCTCAAAGCTACATTGAACCCAGGGTTCTAAAAATCGGCCTAGGTGGCACCTAGGCGCTGTACGGCGGATCTCCGATCCGATTTCAACCAAATCGTTCACTTAAGGCGGAGAGGATTTAGGCGGCCGTCTAGGCGCTTAATAGGTGGTCTAGGCGGCGCTAGGCGCCACTCTAGGCGGTTGCAAATCCCAAACGCGCAACAACTCTGAATCTGCAACTTCCGATCTCGACGAGCTTCTGCAGCTTTGCCGTCTGTGAGCAGATGAAGGAAGAGAGAGTACGCCCAGAGAGAGAGATAGGGTATTTGACATTTCAGTCGTGGCGGTGCGACCGTGCGAGCTGCAATTTCTGTTTCACTTTGTGGTTCTGATTCTTCTGGAAGAAATAAGGAAGAAAACATGAAGAACCGAACTAATTTAATGGGAAATTGGGAAGGTGTTTTACTTTATTTGGGCTCGGGTAATGTGAGAGGTGGAGTGCATGTTCAATGGATTTTAATTACACAATAACCCACTACGTGGGCTTTTATCTTTCAAAAGTACACACACACATATATTAATGTTTTATCTAAATGCCATCTGAGTTATTTAGTCTATATCCAATCTAATGCAAAGATCATAAACAAGAAAAAATTAGTCTATCATTTAAGAATACTCCTCATTATGATTATATGCTTACCATTTTTTAAATATTTAACTTATTGGATGGATGTAGTTTGTGTATTAGTTTTGTATTTTATCATTCTTTTATTATCCATACAAATATATTTTTTTTAATGTAAATAAGCACTTATTTAGAAGATGAAAAATTTAGTCTATCATCCAAGAATACTCCTCATTATGATTATATGCTTACCATTTTTTAATTATTGAACTTATTGGATGGATGTAGTTTGTGTATTAGTTTTGTATTTTATCATTCTTTTATTATCCATACAAATATTTTTTTTTTAATGTAAATAAGCACTTATTTAGAATATATATAATAAATTTATATAAATCTGCTTAGGCCCCGCCTAGGCGCTAGACCCTTACCCACCACCTGACTAGCTTCTAGCGTTTTTTAGAACCTTAATTGAACTCATTGGCAGTTTTGATTTCTCTAATTTTAGGAAGCTGCCGTCAATCGACAGCCCCAAATCTGGCTCAACCTCCTCCTTTTCCAATCCCGCTTCAGAAACCTTCACCATTTGTGTAGAACTCAAAAAGCTTCAAGGGTTTTTTTTTTTTTTTTTTTTTTTGGGTTTGCTATGAAAGTATTTAGGGCTTTATGGGTTCCCATTTTTTTAGAGAGAAAAAGGAGGAAGGGGAAATAGCTAGGGACAAAATGGGCTTTAACACGTCAGCAGTTAACAGATAAATTGATGAACAAGGAAATGAGGTTTGACAATGCAATGAATTATTAAGTTAATATATGACATTACAATATTCGAAAGATGAAGTTTGAGTTTGTTACGTGACTTAAGTTGAAGTGATAAAATATAATTTGTCCTTTTTATTTAAAAAAAAAAGTATGACTTTATTATATGACTCAAAGTTAAGGTGATAAAATGTAATTTATCTTGGGAACTGTTATTGGCACTCCAAAAATCTCATCTTACACTCCTTACAAGTGCATTCTTCTTTCCTAATATAAAAAGTTTGAAGCATAGAATGATTTTTTTTTAGTGATAATAACAATTCTGTTTATCTTAAAAACGAGAAAGCAAAAAAGGGTAGGTGATGCAGTTCATGTATAATAGCCGTTTTTTCTTTAGCTTTTTCTTCTCTGTTTCTAAACCTCTTTCCTTCCTTCTCTTTCCACTCCAAAAAAGGAGATATAGCTGCATTGATTCTCTCCATTGCCATTACCACCTTTCCTCATTCTCTCCTTCGCTGTCTCTCCTCCTCCACCCTTACGTACGTTTCTTTCTCTCTACTTTTTAGAGAGAGAAAGAGATTGACAGTTCAGAGAGAAAAAACAGCCATCATCACCGCAGAGAGAGAGAGAGAGAGAGAGAGAGAGAGAGAGTGGTTTGAAATGGGTTCTTCAGGGCAGAGCAGCAGCAACTGCGATCTGTCGTTCAAGATCTTGCTGATCGGAGACTCCGCCGTCGGCAAAAGTAGTCTGCTTGTTAGCTTCATCTCCAACTCTGTTGACGATCTTGCCCCCACCATTGGTATTATCAACTTTTGAACCCTTCATTTGGGAGGTGATAAAAATGTCATTTGCTAATTCTTGTGTTAGTGGTCTAATGAGATGAAATGTAGATAACTAAGCAACCAAATAGTATATTACTGTTGGATCTATGTTTGGATTTTTGAAAGTCGATTAGCCACTAAGTAATATCCTTATGATTAAGAAGATAATATTGCAGACGCAGGTTAGGTCAATTGGGTAGTGCACCTACACTGTTGCAGTTAAATTCGAATCCATCTTCTTGTAGATTAAGGTAGTTAGAATAGTGTACCGTCAATAAAAGAGAAATAATTTTTTTTGGGAATATCGAGGAACGGGCTCGAAAAAGTTAGGGGGTGTAGTCAATTTGAACTGATTGGGACAACCATTGTGGTACATTTGATGAATTTTGTTGCATTGTTTGTAGGTGTAGATTTTAAAATCAAGCTTCTCACTGTAGCTGGGAAGAAAATCAAGATGACAATTTGGGACACAGGTAGAGCTTTACACCAAGTTTTCACATCATTATATTTGATGAAATTGGGAAATTGTCTCATAAGATACCAAATCACATTGTGTAATATTGTAGCTGGACAGGAGAGGTTCAGAACGTTAACGAGCTCTTACTACAGAAATACCCAAGGAATCATCCTCGGTACATTATCAAAACTTTCGCCATTTTGGTCTCGAAATCTCTGTGTTTTCTGTAACGAAAATGCGGCATTGGTTTCACCTAGTCTCTTGGTAGCATCTGTTTCCTTATCATAGAATCATCTGCTTTGTTGTAGTGTACGATGTGATCCGGAGAGACACCTTTACCAACTTATCGGATGTCTGGGCTAAAGAAGTGGAACTGTATTCGACTAACCAGGACTGTGTCAAGATGCTTGTTGGGAATAAAGTTGATAGAGTAAGTTTCGTGTTCTCCGTGACCATCTTTGAGAAACTCCATGTTTTTAGCTGTCCGGTCTCTGGTGAAACCTTTCTTGTTATCTCAGTTTCTTGAACAAGTTACGAAATCAATTCTTTGCAATTTCAGGAATCGGAAAGGGCTGTAAGTAGGGAAGAGGGGATCTCACTTGCAAAAGATCTTGGATGTTTGTTTCTTGAATGTAGCGCTAAAACTCGAGAAAATGTGGAGCACTGCTTCGAAGAGCTAGCATTGAAGGTACTTCTGAGAAAGTTGTCCCTATAAACTTGTTAATATAATTTTAGCAGTATAACTTTCTAATCATATTGCTAAATGCTAATTACTTAATAGCTCAAAGCAGTTTTCGTACGATGTTATGGACATACGGTACATTTTTTCTGTTCCTAATTCTAATCAATTGGGATTGTGCAACAGATAATGGAGGTTCCTAGTCTCTTGGAAGAAGGTTCAACAGTGGCAAAGAGAAATATTTTGAAGCAGAAACGGGAAAATCAAGCACCACCTAGCGGTAGTTGTTGCTCGTAAATTGGCGTCATGCGCACATCATATGAAGCTTGACTCCCATCATGAAGAGATAATGTATATGTAATTTTGATTTGTTTTCGTCTTACTGCATAAATGTTTGTTTCAATCATATAATGCACAAATTCGCACACATATAACATACTTATTAGCTTGTGTAAATGTAATCTCCTTGTTTTCGGCCATGTTATGGAAAAAGAAACGTTTTCATGAGCAACATTTAATACATGTACATGGACTATGTTACGACATTGAATACATATATACATGGACATGTTGGGATGTCTAAAATTGTAGCAATAGCGACTTGCAAAACCCAACTTCCTGACATGATAGGACAATGCCCATAAGCTTTCTGTACATCCCCACATGTTAAGTTCTGCAAGATCATTGCTAGAAGAAAACTTGATTGCACCCGTATCATGAAACGAGTGTTTCACATTTATGGTTGTGTCGTGTGCCTCTCAAATGATATAGCAAATGTGAGACACCCGTTTCGTGCAACGGGTGCAGGAAAGTGTGTTTTCTGCCGTTGTTAACTATAAAGAGTTTGGTCGGAAACTAAATAACCGAACCTGTTAAAATTGAGAGCTCTTCCATGTTTGTAATTGCTGCTATTACTCAGTGGTTCTTCCATGCTTTTGAGAAACTCATATTCCTGGAAGATTTTCTTTCATGTCACGGCATCTGAATAATCGTTCTTGAAGGCTAAGTAAGAATCCAGCGAAGACGAAGTTCTTCATGTTCTTCCCTTGCAATTCTCAGCAATGTGCGGAACAACAAGATTATTACCCCTCTTTCTACCTAACCCTCTTCATCTCGGAAAACCCATTGAAGATCAGGAATATATCCATTTTCTTTGATCAAGACTGAAAGTGAATTTAAGATTAAATAAATTTCGTCGGATTGAAGGTGTGATGTGTCTGAGGCAACAAAACAGTGAACCTGACTTTTTACAACAATCCAACTTATTCCCGGAGGCTGTTTTAAACCCTTTTCCCTGAGCATTGTTCTTGTCTGCCTGACCTCTAACCACAGCCCTGCTGCAGCGTATATATTAGATACCAAAACATAATTCCCTGCATTCATGGGTTCTAATTCGACAAGTTTTTCAAAGACAGTTCCAACTAACTCAGTGGCAGAATGAATCCGACAAGCATTGAGCAAGGCTCTCCACACTGATGCATCCGGTTCAATAGGCATCGATTCGATGAACTCTTTAGCTTCATTTAATCGGCCTGCACGACCAAGAAGGTCAACAACACAACCATAGTGAATAAGCTCAGGTGATATCTTAAAATCATGTACCATAGTGTGAAAAAGCTGCAATCCTGTCTCTATCAAACCAGAATGCCTGCAAGCAGATAGAACAGCTACAAAAGTTGCCCCATTTGGACGGAAACCATCTTGTATCACTTGTGAGAACGCACGAATAGCATCATATCCTTGACCGTGCATGCTGTACCCAGTAATCAAGGCATTCCATGAAATAATATCCCTCGTCGGTAAAATTCTAAAGATATTTTCAGCATTTTGCATACTCCCACTTCTTGCATACATTGATGTAAAAGCATTTGCAAGAGGTAAATCAAAACCAAAAGAGAGTTGCCTTCTAGTTGCATAAGCATGCAAGCATTGACCTAGAGGCAGAGAGGCAAGTTGGATACATGATGATAGAATATTTATGATCGTCACCGAGTTGGGTTTCACTTCTACAACCATACGGCTAAAGAGTAAATGAGCTTTGTCAATTTCATTGTTCCTGATGTAACTGGCAATCAAAGAATTCCATGCAATCACGTCTCTGCTGGAACATCCCTCAAATAAAGTTCTAGCTGTTGCTTCTTCACCGCAATTCATATACATATCTGTTAGTGCAGTGTTTAAAGGGAGGTCAACTTCAATCCCATGTTTTATCACAAAACCGTGAATTGCTTGCACTGTATTTACACAAGTTCCATCTTCACAAGTAGCAAGGATAGAGATTATTGTGTGCGAATTAGGCTTAGTTTCAGAATCTCGCATCACCGCAAACATTTTCCATGCTTCGTCTTGTAATCCATTGCAGGCCAACGCCCGGATGAGAGTATTCCATGAGATAACGTCTGAATCCTTCATCTCAGCAAAAACCTTCTGAACAAATTCAACGCAGTTCAGCTCAGCATACATATTCAACAATCTATTCCCCAGGGAAACATCCATTTTCATCCCACTCTTCCTTGCTAGAGCATGCAAACTTTACCCTTCCTCAAGCCATCAACTAAATTTTCACACACCGACAACATTACAACAATAGTTCTTTCGTCTTCCTTGATTCCTTCTATTCGCATTCTAGAAAACAAGCTCAAAGCTTGCTCATAAAAGCCATATTCAACATATGCAGATATCATGGAGTTCCACAAAGCAACATCGCGGTTGGGGACAGCTTCAAACAATTCACACGACAACTCAAAACATCCACACTCGGTATACATATTGAGCAATGCATTTACTGTGAACAGATCACCACTGTAACTATTCTTGATAGCCATTTGATGAATTTGTCTGCCCAGTTCAATAGATCCAATTCCTGCACAGGCTTGAATAACAACCAGCAGTGTAGTAGAGTCGAACTTAACACCATCCGCAAGCATCTGCAAAAAAAGCTTCAAGGCCATCAGGTGCTCCCCAACATTAACATAACCGGTAATTATTGCATTCCAACTAACAATGTTCCTCACAACCATCGAATCAAACGTTAGGCGCGACATTTTGATGTCGAATCTCAGATAAAACCCAATCAATGCAGTACCCACATGAGCATCCAAATCAAGAAGTCCATTCCTCAAACCAAACCCATGTATCTCCTTTCCTGATCTCAACTCCGAAACCTCCCTACACGCCAAAAGCAATGCAACCACACTACGTGAATTCGGTCTCAATCCCTCATTCTGCATCTGCAAAAACAACAACACAGCCTCCCGGTAACAACAACACCCCACATACCCATGTATCAAAGCATTCCACAAAACCAAATCTCTCTCCTTCATTTCATCAAACACGTCAACTGCATCATCAACAAACCCGCCCTTGAAGTAAAAATCGACAAGGGCAGTCCCAATTCTAACATCTTTCATCAAACCCGTGTTCCGAATGCTCGAATGTATTCCCTTGCCTCTCTCAACGGCGCCCAGCCTCGCACATGCCTTGAGAACCAGAGGCAGAGAGGCGCTATCCGGTGCCACTCCAAGAGATTCCATCTGGGTATATGTTGAGAGGATTGCACTGTCATTTTTTAGCCTGGCGTGGTGCTTTATGATCAAGTTCCAGTCTTCTGGTTTTGGGTTTTGGATTTGGAGCTGTTTGGGTGTGGGAGGTGGTGTTTGCAGGCTTAGGTTGACAGGTATATCCATTGGCAGAGTTCCCCTTCACATTTGGCGGGAGATTGTGAGATGATGTTATTTGTCATGTTTTTTTTTTTTTAACGTTATCACGTTGTGCTAGATTTTCAGTATAACCGGAACAAAAGTCAGTATATCATGTTTCGTAATACAAATAAAAGTAAATTGAAAAACATCTCTCTGCTAACATTATGACATGTAGTGTATCGACTTGTATTCCGGTATAGGAAAAAATGAATGCATGAAAAAATCTCTCATTGTCTGGTATCTTCACAATGACAGAACATTATGTGAAATCAGTTCATCTCCGATGTGACATTCTCATCCAATAATGCATTGTCATGAGAGAAATAATATCTTGTTTCATGTAAGTCATTTTGGATAGGCAATATTTATCGCAACGTATCAATTAGTTGACGACAAAAAGCTCGTAGAATTGTATATTACATATACTAGTAGAAAAAAGAAAACACCAGATCTCCGTCAGGGATCTTCTTTGATTTTTTGGTGTTAAGAGCATTTACCATTACACCTGAGGTCGACTTTAATCAGCACTCCCGAAACACGGGGCTTTACACTATTACTGTCAAGAACAGACTTCGAGCATAAACCTACACGAAGCCTTTAGTGAACGGAAGAGGATCCTCTCCTGAGCATAGGATGGGGATCCTCCTGACCACAAAATTCAGGCCATTCAATTTTAATCCAACAGTTGCAATTATTATAACTTTTTAGGAGATCCCCTGTTTGACACCGTTGGATTAAAATTGAACGGCCCGAATTTCGTAGTCAGGAGGATCCTCGTCCTGAGCTGAGGAGAGGATCCTCTTCCTTAGTGAACTACAATATTGAGAAATTGTCTTCTGATGAGTCTCACTCAAGTGCATTTGAGCAGTGACTAACGATAAGCGTAAAGAACCCACGAAAACATTGAAATGGCGGAGAAAACTAAAAAAAAAATGCACATATGGAGTCAGAGAAACCGAGCTATTTTTCTGCATTCGATATTCTGAAATCTGAAACTGTAATAATAAACAAAGAGGTGAAAATCCTCAACATTTTGGTGTTGCTGACTGATCATCAACAAAAGCAGAGCACATCGAGATCCTTAAAAAAAATTCTGATAGTAAAGCCTACTGGCACGTCGTAGCAGCAGAAGCAGCCTCCAAAATTCTCCTAGCTTCTGTGTCAGCTTCGGGTAAGTCACTTGGGATCTGCCAGAATTTTCAGTGAGACGCCACAACAGACTATCGCAGAAACGATTAATAAGTATAGAATTTCAAACACAAACCTTTCCGTATAGGTTTGCCCTGGTAGGTGAAGCTCCGGAAGCCAGCAACAATCTTATGACATCAGCATGCTCGCCTCTTGCTGCGTGATGGAGAGGCTGCAGAAGAACATGAACATATACGAAAATAAGTCCATAGTGCAACTTTTAATAGAGTCCCCATATAGAAAGGGAATTGTTATCGCTACTCCAAAATTCTAATTGTACACTCCAAAGTTTTTATATTTAGAAAAACGCTTATGAAGAGTGCACAATTAGATTTTTGGAGTGCCAATACTAGTTTCTTCTGGAATATGCACGAAACTTTTTCCACTATTTGAATTCCCATGTCAAACACTACAAGGATGTGATTTGAGATATACTCACAGTGTCACCTTCGGCATCAACTGTTTCTAGCATTCTCTTTACACGCTCAGCATCGTTACCACTGTTAATTAAAAGTTGAACTACTTCGGTGTATCCTGCATCAGTCATTTGAGGAAAAATAAAAAAAAATCGAATAGAAAGATAATTTATACATCTTAATAGTTAGAATGTTCTTGTAGCCCTACCCCCAGCACAAGCATCATGCAAAGGAATTGCTCCGTCTTCATCCTTAGCCTCCAAATTTGCACCTCTCTCCAAAAGTAACTATATCGACACAATTATTTTCGGCTCAAAGTACCACTTCCAACGAAATAAAAATAGAACTACAAATTAAGCAGACTACTGACCTGGACACAAGAAAGATTGCCATAGAGACAGGCCAGATGGAGAGCTGTGTCTCCATCTTCCACTGCATCATCAATGCTGCCTACTAAGTTATCTGTACACAAATCAGAAAGAAGGGGAATCAGGAAAGCATCGGTATAAATTAAATAATACCTAGAAATCAAAATTGAGAAATTAAATACCCCAAGAAAACAAATTTAATGAATCATGCATATTGGTCCAACGAAATAACTAAAGCAGGCAGGTATTAAAACACATAAAATCAAACGGCCCTTGTGATAATCATTTTGCTTTTAGTTTTTGGTTTCTATCTTTATGTTAAAGATAGAGGGGAAGTACATAGATGCGTAGAAGAATGATGGTTGGAATGATGTAGAAGAAATGTATAATAAAACGTACACAAAACTAAAATTAAAAATCAAAAACCATGCTCATTAATTATCACTTTCAAGTTTTGTTTTCATTCATTCCTCTCCCCACATACTTTCCTCGTATCCAAACACAAAAAGTTAAAGCTACAAACTAAGAACTATGAACGAAGTCCTTATAAAAAGGACCCGTTGTTCCCTCTTTCAAGAATTTGTTTTCATTCATTCCTCTCCCCGCATACTTTCCTCGTATCCAAACACAAAAAGTTAAAGCTACAAACAGAGGCGGAGCCAGAATTTTTTAAAAATGGGGTCATGAGAAATAAGCTTTTCACAAGGAAAAAAAAACTTAATGAATTAACCTACTTATAAGTATAAATACATGTCTCACTTAATACTACTATCTAATGCTATTACTCTTCACTTGTAAGTGAGAGTTCTTAGGTTCGAGTCTCGTGAATGATGAGTTCACAACCAATTCATTCGCCCACCCTTCAGTATAAATATATCGTTGTATTAAAAAAGTTACCAAATATATGTGATCAGTTGCCATGAGTCTTACAAATGCTCAATTATTAGATCAATTCAATCCATTGAAAAGAAAACTAAAACTCCATCATTGATAGTAGGTATGATAATGTAAATTGTGATCAAATTCAAGACTTAATAAGAAGTTAGTTGCAGAAACAATTAATGTGAGATGTAATTAAATGAATTCTGTAATATTCTAATTGGCAAGCGAAAGATGAATTAGGAAGTAAAATTTGTATCTCCAGTCCCATTGATGAAGCCAAATTCCAATTGGATGGTATGCAAAATACCTAGCACCGCTCCACCTACACCATCAAATTTGGTCTTCTTTGAACTAATTATGAGGTCAAGACAACAAAATACAAGGAGGAGCACTGGGTTATTGGGGTCGTGAGCATACAGTGCCCCCAGTGTAGCTCTGCTACTGGCTACAAACCAAGAACTAAGAACGAAGTCCTTATCAAACAGACCCGTTGTTCCCTCTTTCAAGAATTTGTATTCATTCCTTCTTCTTTTTTTTCTTCGCCCATATACTTTCCTCAATCCAAATACAAAAACTAAAACCTAAAAGCTAATAACGAAGTAGTTATCAAACGAAACCAAGGCTTCTAGGTACTCTAATCAGTCAAACACAAACTAAATTAAGCTTGTACAACCAAACTGCACTGAAAATACTCGGGAAATTAAGTTGTTTAAGTTAATTGGGGTCGATAAGTATAGCAAAATTACGCAAAATAACTAATCAAATCATAATCAACCAATTAAGAAATCAAGTTGAAATCAGCTGGAAAAGAGAAGTGGCTATACCAAGAGCGAGGCGAAGGGCGTCGAGGTCGCCCTGCTGAGAGGCGTCTGCGATGGCGCGAAGGTGGGGAGGCGCGTGAGCGTCAAGCTCCTCCAAACCCTCTTCCTCGAACAGAGCGTTTTCGTCCTCGTTGTCCTCCTCCTCCATCAGACCATTCCTCCGCCCTGGAACCGCCATTGTCTTGTGAAGTTTTGGGGGTTTTTGTTTCGCTGCGTCTCCAGAAAGTGTTTCGAATTTTAGGCGTTTAGAGGGGGTGCCGCGGCGCCATTTATATGTCCTTTGTTAAAATTACAGTTTTGGGCATTTGGAAACCAGCCTCTTGCAAAATTGAAATTGTATACTAAAAACATACAAAAATTCTATTTTGTTGCTGTCGGTTAGAAATGTGATTATATAAATTTTATTAAGATTCTAGTATTTTTCATATGATGTCCGTTTCAATTGTAATATCTAAACGGTAAGAAATTTATTTTCCTAGTACTATAAATAAAAACACAATTCACTGAGATAACATACTTCAAAATTCACCAAATCTTGCTCTTTACACCCTTGGTGCACCTCTCTCTCTTACACTCTATAATTCTTCTGCTAGATATACCAACCACACATTTTCAGCACGATCTTGCTAATGCTAAGGAACTGAAGGTTCGTGGAGGAGGTTTTTCTATAAATTCAAAGGCTCAATTTTCGTTTTCTGCCAATTAAATTCTTCTAAAACACAAACTTAATAATTTATTAGCTCTGTTTGCATAAAACATTCCTATGATACAAGAACTCTTAATCTATTATTCATAATTTTATGACTATATATATTGTATTTGCATATATATATATATATATAAAGGATGTTCATGCATACGCAATTGATATTTATATATCTTGATGAAATTGCTATGTAGAATTTTGTGATAAAAGAAACCCAAAGCAAATAAAAGCATGAATTAGGGTTCTGAAAACCCGTAAATCGAAAAAAAAAAAAAAAAAAAAAAAAGAGGAAACCTTGGCCAGAGCCGCGACCTGAAGTAGTCGCCGCTGAGCCAAGTCGCACCGCTGCGTTGGTTGGTCTGCAGCCAAACCCAAGCGTTGAGTCGCGCCGTCTCTGAGCTGCGCCAAGCCGAGCTGTTGCTCGGGCTACAGCATGGAACGATGTCGTATGGCGTCTGGTTTTCCTCAGCCCTTTTGAGCTAGCTGCGTGCAAGAATCAGGCCCATTATTACAAGACTCAAGTATTAGGCAAAAGAATAAGCGTGCGGTAATTGTGTTTCCAGATATGAACTTTAAAAAATGTGTATTTTTACCAGTTAAGGTAACGATCTTTTAGGATAAGGAATCTTTATTAAACCAGAGAATTCCAGAAGAATCTTGTAGCGCACATAGATTATAAGGACTTCAAGATTATAGGATACCTGGTGATTCATTGCGCTGGATTAGGTTTCTGTATCTTGCATAATAAACATGGTTAATCTCAGTGAAGTCTGATAACTTCGCCCATTGCTTTGGAACTGAATGATGGTGGCATCGTTGCTCTGTTTATTCAGCTATGTTGAGAAGCTGTTGAGTCCATAACCAAACTCCTAAGGTATTCGTATTCTGACATGTATTACTCTGGTCTTGGAAAATCATGGTCCCAC